AGCAACAAAGGCGCTCATGGAAGGATTTCCTAAGGACCCACTGAGTATCAAGAAGCCGTCTTTCCTGGATGATTATGTCGCTCGTGCTGAAATCTTCAACATGTTCGCAGCTCCAAATACCTATGAGGAGGCGATCCAGGCGACAAGTGTGAGGAATGGAAGAAAGCCATGGACTCAGAGATTTCGTCGTTGAGAGAAAACGAGACCTGGGATGTCGTCGACCTTCCCAAAGGTGCGAAGGCCATCCCGTGCCGATGGGTCTTCCGCGTGAAAGAGACACAGGATGGTCAGATTGAACGCTACAAGGCGAGAGTAGTGATCAAAGGATATAGTCAACGCTATGGAATCGACTACAAGGAAACTTTCAGTCCAGTGGCGAAGTTGGCGACCATTCGATCCATACTCAGCGTGGCTGCCAGCGAAGGTCTGTTTCTAGGTCAGTTCGATGTGACCACGGCGTTTCTGTACGGTTTTTTTAGACGAGACCATCTTCATGGAACAGCCCAAAGGTTACGAGACCGGAGACGGTAAAGTATGCAAGCTCAAGCGATCGTTGTACGGCCTGAAGCAAGCGCCGAGATGTTGGAATACTCGGTTCATCACATACATCAAGAAGCTTGGCCTTGTCGTAAGTGAAGCGGATCCATGTCTTTTCATTCGAGAATCGGGGAAAGAGAAGTTGCTCTTAGCCCTGTATGTTTACGACGGCTTGTGCGCTGCGTCTAACGAGAATTACACTGAGAACTTGTCTTGAAGAGCTGAAGCAGCAGTTCAAGATTACATCCAAGGATGCAACCTACTTCCTGGGTTTGGAAATCAAGAGAGAAGGTGACTCGATTCGAGTCACTCAGGCACTTCAAGCGAGGAAAATTCTGGAGAAGTTCAATTTCCTCGACTGCAGGCCAGTGTCCACGCCGATGGATCGATGTTCCGAAGCTGGGAAAGCTGAAGAGGAGGAGGTCGACTCTTCGAACTGCGTGGATCGAACAGAGTTTCCCTACAGGCAAGCGGTCGGTGCGATTATGTACCTCATGCTCGGAACTCGGCCAGATCTCGCCTATAGCATCGGAGTTCTCTCAAGAACACTTGAGAATCCGTCGAGAGAAGCAGTTACCAGGCTCAAGAGAGTTCTCCGCTACATAGCCGGAACTCAGAAATTCGGGATTACGTTCACTCGAAGCGGATCGAGAGCTGCTTTGGAGGCCTATAGCGACTCTGATTACGGTGGGTGTACCAAGACAGGTCGTTCAACTTCTGGTGTCGTCGTGAAGTATGCTGGTGGACCCATATCTTGGATCAGTCAAAGGCAAGCTTCCGTTGCGACTTCAACAACTGAAGCGGAGATCATCGCTGCAAGCGAGGCCGCAAAGGAGGTGATTTGACTAGCGCGACTCTTCAGGGAGATCACGCACTTTGAGGGAGTGCCGACGGTTTTTGTCGATAACTCTGCTGCTGTGAAGTTGTCGCAAAACCCCGAGTTCAATCGCAGGACCAAACACATATCTCTGAGGCACTTCTTCATCCGCGAACGGGTCACCGAGAAAGAGCTCCTAGTGCAGCAAATATCTTCAGAGAGGCAGGTCGCTGATATTATGACGAAGCCTGTGCAAAGACTTCGGCACAACTATCTGTGCAGAGAACTCGGCATGTCCTGATTTCGGTCAGAACAACAAGGGAAAGTATTGAGGATTGTTGTTTCTGACGAAGTTCTCCGATCTATATAAGCCCCAGCATGTCGATAAAAATATACTTAGTGTTTCCACCCGAACGACGAAGTGTGTAGTCCGTCTCTTCCGCTCCCAGATCCCAGCTCTTAGGTGTCCACCTTAACACTCTTTACCAATACAAAGCCCCTATGGGCGAGGACGGTCTCATTCACTCCGAATCAAGACTGATCCTATCATCGAGATTAACGACGAGCCAGATATACCCTCTAATCCTACCATCAGACTGTAATCTCTCGAAGCTCATCGTTCAGGACATCCACGAAAGGAAGTGCTTCCATTCGGGAGGCGTAAACGCCATCCTTCACATCCTTCGGCAGGACTTCCTCCTCATACATGCGCGCAGAATCGCCCGACAGGTCATTAAAACGTGCCCCACCTGTAAGATCTTCCACTGCGAGGCAGCCAACCTTCCAGTTCCTCCCCTCCCGGCATTCCGAATCGAAGAGACACCTCCATTCTTCCACTGCGGTGTCGATTTCGCCGGACCATTCCGATACAAAAAGGATAGGAAATCGGAAAGAGCTATCCTGCTTTTTACTTGCGCGGTCACCCGCGGGGTGAACCTCAACCTCTGCACCGACTTATCTACGGTCGAGGTCTTAGGTGCCCTCCAGAAATTCATCAGCCGGTTCCCGAACGTCAGGACGATCACTTCCGACAACGGCCTCTCGTTCCAAAGGGCAGCGAAGGAACTGAAACTCCTGTACGAAAGCATCAAGGACGGAGAAGTGACAAGATGGCTAGCAGACTCGTTCATCTCATGGAAATTCTTCACAGCGTGCGCCCCATGGTTCGGGGCGTTCTATGAGCGCCAAGTTCAGACGATGAAGAGGCCACTCCGGAAAATACTCGGCTCCGCCATTCCCCACTTCAGGGATCTCGACGTAATCATTTGCAACATCGGAGCGATGGCGAACCGACGTCCAATAACGACTGTCGCCTCAGGGACAGACGAAGGGGAAGCACTGAGCCCATCCGATCTCCTTTACGGATACAAAGGAAGCGCATTCATCCCAGAACATTCCCTGAAGCCCAAACGGAGACCCGACAAAGTTATGGTGATCTTCTCAAGAAGATGGGCGTATCAACAACGATTATTATTATTGAACAAGTTCTGGAAACGATATACAACGGAATATCTTCAATACCTAAAAACAGCACATGAGCAAACCCCAGGCAGAACGAAGCATTTAACATCGGCGACATCTGTCTCCTAGAGGGAGAATCGTTCAATAGAGCTGTCAGGCCACTTTGCCGAGTCATCTCATTCCCCGAGAATGTGAAACCCGAGAACGCAAGATCATGCATCGTGCGAACAGCTAAGGGCCAAATGCTCAACCGCCCGATCAAGAAAATTTACCCGCTGGAGTCCACCATCTTATACCCGAAACAATCGGTAGAGTCAGGTGTCAGCTCCCTCTTACTTGTGTAGCGGCGGGCACAGCCAATCGGTAGTACCAGGTGACGAACAGACATCCAGGCGCAAAGTGCGAAATGACTGATAACGGTGGAGTGTTCGCGCCGGCAGCGTTCTGGTCAGATGAGGGATCGTCGCCCCCGATACCGTGGGAGGAGTGGATTGAAAACTTCGAAGTTTATCTGATCGCTCGCGGAAATACGTCGACATGGACAGTCGAGAGGAAGGTAGCCACGCTGAAACATTGTTTAGGTGTGGCCGGCCACGCGGCCTACCGAGAAATCGAAAGTATGCCAGCAGAAGGAGCAACCGAATACGAGAAAGTGGTGTTCAAACTGTTCAAGAGGTTTGCGGTGGAAAAAGGCCTGGCGGCAAGGAGAATGGATTTCGCAGCGCGCAAACAAAATCAGGGAGAAAGCGTGCGGGAGTTCGTCGGAGCCCTTAGAAAACTTGCGGGAAGATGCATGTTCCCAATCACCGCCGACGATGCGATCATAACCCAACTCACGGTGAATACCACCAGCGACGCTGTGCGCGAAAAGTCACTGAACGCGAAAGAAGAAACGTCTTTCGAAGAACTCATCGCTTCGGCAACACGAACAGAAATCAACGAGAAAGAAGCAAAGTCTCTCGGTGACTCAGTTAACGGTCACTCAGTGTTCGACAAAACGGATATCAATCAAGTGAGGTCCCAGCGTGGAGTCGGATATCGAGCACGTGGATCAACCTCTCGGCAACCCCCGATGCTCAACAGTGCCTCGTGTAGGAGGTGCGGGAACACTGGACATGATGCTCAGTCGAATAAAAGCCCAGCAAGACGAGTGGAATGTTGGAGGTGCCGTCGTGAGGGCCACTATGCTAAATTCTGCGGCAGCAGAAATCAAACGGGAGTGAACTACGTCGATACGTCGCTGGAGGGAAACGAAGCCTCACCGGTCGTCGGAGACCCATTCGAAGAGGAACCTACAGCGAGTTATCGGAGCATGGGCGCATTAAACAGTAATGTCCAAATTTACTACTTGAGTTATCCGCCATTAGGTAATCAGATCCTAGTAATGGCGGATATTGAAGATAGGAAAATCAATTTTCTAGTTGATACTGGAGCGTCAGTCTCGATCCTCAATGTACAAGACTTCGGCGGGAAAAAGTCTGATCTGATGAAAACCCCTATGGTGCTGAAATCCTACAAGGGAGAATGTACAGAAAACTTGGGATATTTCAGAAGTACGGTTCGAGTTGGAGAGCGTGGGGCGGCATGCGGGTTTTTCATGGTCCGAAGCGGTCGCTCACTGCTGGGTTGCGACGCGCTGCAGGCCTTGGGTCTCAGAATTGATTGTTCGCGGATGAAATGCGAGATAAACGAAATCACGGAAGAAAACGTGAGGGAAAAGTTCGGCGATCTGTTAGAGAACCGACTTGGAAAGGTTCTCGGATTCGAACACGCGGTTAGGGAAAAGAGAGGAGCACGGCCATTACAACAAAAAGTCAGGCGGCTACCTCTGACCGTCAGGGAACAAGTTCGGGTGGAGCTCGAGCGGTCGGAAACTTCAGACGTGATCGAACGTATCGAGTCGTCGGAGCGGATATCCGCGTTGGTGGTGGTGTCGCGGAAAGATGGCCGAATACGGCTGTGTGTGGATTTGCGAGCGGTAAAAGCGGCGATAGTTGCTGATGTTTTTCCGCTCCCACACTTCGAGGATTTGTTGACGAGACTAGGTAGTGCGAGAGTGTTTTCAAAGTCGGACGCGCGCTCGGCATATCATCAGGTCGAGTCGGCGGGAAACTCGAGAGATCTGACCGCATTCATCACCCCATGGGGATTGTTTCGCTTCAAGCGAGTTCCTTTCGGCTTGGCGTCGGCCCCAGCGGCATTTCAGAGATTAATGGAACAAATTCTCTGGGGGATTGAGGGAGTCATAATCTACCTTGACGATGTTTTGATCTTCGGAGAAAACGAACGAGAACATGACGATCGGTTGCAAGGTACGCATGCATTCCTTTGAGACGGGGGAGCGGGCCGTTTGCATGGAAAATTTTCTTGGTTGCACGGAGAAAAAAACGGGTCTGGTTCTTCCGCTCTTCCGCTTAAGTTATGCATTTTTGAACACTTGTCCGTCGGGATCAGGCACTTTCTTGAGACAGACACAGATATCATCGGAAAATAAAACCCGTTGTGAATTCGGGGAATCGTTATTGTTATGCATCGTCTTTCCGTCCATCTCTCGACTAATGTAAGAGGAGCGGACGAAGTTCAGAGCTGTCGATGATTAGTGTCGAGTGTCGACGCGTGGCTCGTCGCGTTCTGCTTCGCTGGTGTCTTGACGCTGTTTATCCACCACGGTCCAAGCTTCGAAGCTGGAATTGTCTTGAACTTTGGATCCGAGCTTCGCCCCTCGCCCCCGGTGAGTTCGCGTTCGCATTTCGCATAACGCGTCGCGTGATGCGCGACCGATGACCGATTGAATGATGGAACATGGAAATGGGGATCGAGGATCGAGCCATGGATTCATCGTTCATCGAGCTATCCGATCCTTCGCGCACGCGCAAACATGATTACCTACCCACTTTTCCAGACCGTATGGTATACGTATTCTGCTACTTGCTACTGCTACCAAGCAAGTGGAAAATGGAGGGTGGAGGTCCGATGTCCGAGGGCGAAGGCTCGTGTTCAACAACATGTGATTGTCCTTTTTCGCGTATAGCTCATCATATATCATATATACACTATATTCCATGACCTGGCCTGGCATATTTCTTGTGCCACTAGAGCCTGAAACTGGGAGCATTCTTTTTCGGCGTTGATCCCGAGAATCACGAGCTTGATTCGAAGTTGATATTCCATGCAGCTTTCGAAGTCACGGGGTTCCGAGCATCGGAATCGGTGCCCAACGAGGAGAGCCGGCCAACGCTCAGGATGACGTTCTTGAAGAAAAGGTCGCAACGAGTCGTGAGAGAAATCGCTGAATCGGAAACAAGAGTTGGTTCAAACGGTGGTGAGAGAAAACGCAATTTCTAGCTTATACCCCCATAATCCTGCCCCGTTGAGACAGGGATATCTCGATATCAGGGCGGAGATCACAAATAGTCTTCTGCACCATTCGCTCTTTGCAGACGACTTACAGAGTCGAGCCGATGGAGACGAACCGATAGAAGAAATTCCGCCACGAAGCACCAGGACGGGGATGAGTTGTTTGCGGGATGGGAAGTGCGTGGAAACGGAACTCCATCCAAATCCGCCTACGCGAAGTTCGTACCAGCTTGTCTCATTCACTCCGACATTCCGTAGCTAGCATGCTAATATTATTTAAGCGAAGGATAGCCGAGGTGTTAGAGCAGTTTGCACGTCACATGTAGACTCACTCTAGCCACATTGACGTTGTTCCGTGCGGGAGGCAGCATGGGTTCAATCCCTGCAGCCGTGTACTTCAAGGATGGTCTTCCCGAAGTGAAGACCCATTCTTCCCGGGTAATGCCGAAGTAGCACGCAGGGCATAGCTTACCTAGTCCCGGCACATAACCTACCGCAACGCCGCGCCGTCCTCTGGACCCTATCGCGGGAGGCCTGGAGGAGGGATCATGATGAAGGAAAAAATATTGGATGTGAAAGACAAATCGACGTCAAAATCGAGATTTGAGCTTGAGCATTGACTTTGCAGGCGGTTCTGTGTGGGAGAGTTTCGAACTTCTGAAATGCGGAAATCATCTACGCTGCCTGAAGTGTCGGAAGAGAATATCATTTGCTAGGCACAGCATCACTGCGGCAAAAACCCATCTGGGCTCCCACTCCAGGAAGGAAGAAATCGAAAGGCGTCGCAGATTGGGCCTGGGTCCTCTGAGGAGGCTTGGAACCCTTTCGAACACTGAAATGAGCGCAGCGGACCAGGACCAAATGGTGGCCTATCTCATTGCGTCTGGCAAGTCTAATGCCTCAATGTTCTCGGACTCGGTCATGTGTGGGATGCTCCGCAGATCAGGTATCTCGATCAGCAACCGCAACGAGGCGACTCTATGTGTGAAGCGCGAGAAGTCTCTAATCGAAGGCCTGCTGAAAGAGGAGATCGCGGCTTTGAGGGCGGCGGGCGAGTTCTTCTCACTCACCGCTGACGAGTGGTCTTGGAAAACGCACGTGTATCTGGGAGTGACCATTCACTGCTCTGGTACGATTCCTTCGCTGAAAGGTGACTTCTTCGAAACGATGACGCCTCTGGAGTCAAGCACGTCATCTTCTCTATTGGACGCTCTAATCTCAACGTTGGATGCATTCGGCTTACGACTAGATGATGTAGTGTCTCTGACCACTGATGGAGCGTAGAGATAGATTTTTCACATTAGGAATTAGGGATGCCGACCTTCGGAACGTAATGCCTCCTCGAGTAGCTGACGGACTCGAATTATTATGGGTGCTCTATGACAAACGGGGAATTAGAATTCTGGAACACCATCCTTCCATTCAGGTGCAAGCAATATGAAGCGACTTGGACGCCTTATCGACGGTTCAAGGGAGCGAGAAGTATTCTACCACCAGCTGTGCTACAGTCACGGCCTACACCTGGCCGTGACACGAGCGCTGAAGTCGGTGTCTGAAACGAATGCCGACCTCATCGAGAGAGTTCGCGATGTCTGCAAAGAGATGCGCACGGCGCATAAAGCAGTGAAGCTCAGGAGAAACTGCCGGTTGACCGCTCTTGTCGATGTGTCTGTTCGATGGAACAGCACATTCGACATGATGGAACGTTTTCTGCGGATCCAAGAGTCCATCAGAAGT